AAATCTAAAAATCACTATAATATGGATTTTTTAACAGAATATTATAATTTTTGTTTATTACTATTTAAATGATATTTTTTAAATATAATAAATATTATAATTTTATTATAATAGATATAAATTAGTTATATTTTTAAAATTTTATTTTAGTTATTATTAAAATTTATATAAAAAAAAATTATTTTGTTTAATTTACTAAAAAATATCAGTATTTTACAGTCAAAATTCATTGATCATCTATTTTTGATTTATATATTATACAAGCTTATAATATTTATATAATCAATATTAGTATTATACTTAAATTTTGGAAAATTTTAATAGGTGTTATTAATTAACTTTAAGAATTATGAAAAGTTAGATACTTATAATAGCTACCGTATATTTAGCAAGAAATAGGTATATGATTTTTTACAGTAAATTAAATTACAAATAATAAAAGAATAAAAGGTATATATTATTTGATTAAAATATCATAGAATATTTTTAAAAAAAAATGTTAATTTTTTTAGACTGGTTGAATTATTATGAATTATTATATATTATAGCTTCTTTAAATTAATATATTTTTAAATATTAATTATAAAATATATGGTAATATAAGAATAGTACAAATATTAATATTATAGAAGTAGCTTATACTATAATAAATAAGAAAAATAATGAAATTTATTAGTAGTAATATTAATATTAATTAGTTTTATTATAATTTTTTTTAAATTATAAGTTAAGTATTGTAAATTTATAAATAACTTTTATAATTAAAAAATTTAAATTAATTTTAATAGAAAAAAAAATATGATGAATAATATTATAAGACAATTAATATTCATAATAAAATAAGAGTCCTTTATACTCATTAGAATAAAAGTAAATTCAAGAATATAAATATCAATAAAATATAAAGATAAATAAAACTATATATTTTTTATTAATTAATTTTATGTTATCAATATTGAAAATTTACTTTAGAAAAATGATTTATAAAAGTCATTAGATTTAATTTTATATAAATTATATTAAGAAAAATCTTAATCAATATATTGCATTAGAAAATTAGATTAATTCATCTGATTTATAGGATTTACAAAATTCATTTGATTCACTTATTTTATTTAATTATCTTATTTTATTAAATTCTTTACATATTTATTATTTTTGTTATAATTATTATTTTATTATTTCTTTTATTTTTATTATCATTATAATTTATCCTCTATTTTTTATATCTTTATTTTATTATCTTTTATTATTATTTTATAGCTAAAGTTTTACTAAAATAGTTAGTTTATAACATAGTAAGTAATTAGCTATAACAAATTAATTTTGTATAAATAGAATAACTTTTTGCTTAAATTATAATTAACTCATTTGTAGGTTTAAATGAATTTCAGTATTATAAATAAAAGAATCAATTTAAATCTATACAAAATTACTTTTCTTTTTAATATTGTTCCTTAGCTAAGATTTATTATAATACATTATACTAACTTACTATTAAATTTGTCATTATAAGCTTAACTAAATATTTTTTAAATTCTAAGACATAATAAATTTTCAAGTTGATTCAAGTATAACAGATACCTATAAGACTTAATGAAAATTCTAAAGTCAGAAACTCTAATATGTAGAATTAATTGCTGCAGCTTTTTAATTTAAATGTTAAAATAATTGAAAATAAATCTAATGATAATGTTAAAAATTCTAACATTTTTTTAATAATATAGAATTTCATACTTGAAAATACAGTATTAATTTACAAATGATAAATCATTATTAAAAAAATAAAGTTTTTTTTACTATTAACAAACTAAATCTAAGAAAAGATAAAGATTCTGCATTAGAAAATGAGAAATAATATTATCTAAGATTAATTATAAAAAATTACTTGAATTAGATATTGAAGAGAGAAAGATGATATTGAGAGAATATAAAATTAAAGTAATAACAGTTGAAGCAGAAGCATAATTTATAAAAGTTAAAGCTAAAGTATTAAAATTAAAAAATCAGAAAAAAAATATAATAATAAAATAGATAAATAAATAATTATTTTTTGTTTAATTTTATAAGTAATAATGAAAAATAAATAAAGTGCATATATTAGATTTATCAAGTTAATCATTGATTATTAAAGTTCTAAATTTAATCTAATAGATTAGATAATCTAATAGGTTAACCTGAAAAGTTCAGTTATATCAGATATGATATTTAATCTACCCTACCTGAATTTTTTAATTAAAAATTAAAAATTTATTAATTTTATCAATATTGATCCATTTGAGATGAAATAACTACTATTCAAATTCTTAAATAGAAACAAATCGAATGAGCTTTATTTGATTCATTTGAATTATTGATTGTTAAGATATAGCTTAATTAATTTTACTATATAAGATTTTTAAATGCATATTATAGATTTATATAAATACAAAATAAAGTATAATTTGTTAATATTAATTTATATGAGAATTATTAGCTACTATTTAATTAATTACATAGAGATAAATTCAATAAGCTATATTATATTTATTTTTTATCATTAGATATTAAGATATCTTAAAAAAACTGTTTTCAATTTTTTTTAATGTAATCTATAACCTGATCTATGACCTAATCTGACTGATACTTTGGTTAGATAAGGTAAAGTATTCTACCTGATCTAATTTGTTTAGAGCTCTAAATTTAAATTCTGAATTAATACTGAATAACTTTATCTAATTTGAGTTAATTAGTGATAATTTAAACAATCAGAAAATATGATCAATCAGTTGTAAATAATAACAAAAATCAGCCTAAATTTAGCATCTAATTTTTAGCTGATTTGGACTACTTTGAACAGTATATAGGAATAATTACTGATGTAAATCTTATAGAAATATCTATTTTAGTTGTATTTTCTATTAAAGGATTAATAATTGACATTATTATTAATAAGTAAACCTATTATTTTCAATTAAATAAAACTAATTTTCACTGTACTCAATTTTTCTTACAAAATTCTTTTGCTTTTACCATTCATAAAACTCAAGGTTTAACTCTATTTAAAGTTTTTTTTGCTATAGATGAAAACATATTTTCATCAGATTAGACTTTAACAAATATCAATTTATCACATCTTAATCATTTAGCCTTATATTTGATCAAGATGTCATTACAGAATAAAAAAGATTAAAAAATAATTCTAAAACAAATTCTCAATAATTTTCTAATCCTTCATATTCATTTTTAAAATTTTTAAAAAGTTGTACAAAAATTGATACAAAAAATACATTTAAATAAATATATAATACTAAATTTAATTAATATAAAAAAATCCTTATAAAAATTACATACAATAAATATATCACACAATTTAATTAATAATATAAAAAAAGAATATTTTTATTTCATACCGGGGGATACCAGTATCCTCCCCCTAATAATATGCTAATACCTTACCTTAACTAACCCTAAACTAACTCTAACCGTGACAAATTGATATATGTGACAAATAAGATTTCACCACTCAAAAAAAAACTGTCCTCTGAATACAACTTAATTTCCGTAAAGAGGAAATTAATTATTAAAATAGTAGTAAATAGTAAAAACAGAAACTTGAGAGTTGTGATACGATGTGATACAAAAGGGAGGATATATATATCCCTGGATATAGTTATAATATACTGTATAAAAAAAAATATATACAATAAATATATATTATACTAATAATCAATATCGAAAACTAATATAAACATAAATATATCACATTAATAAATTTAATTAATAAAATACCTAACATTGAACAAAAAAAAGTGAAAAAACTCGCTAGTTACAATACCTTATGTCGATCAATCGGAGAACGGCATACGGACATTTCATCTGATCCGACTGTTACACCCCCATAGTTATTTCCTAATTTTTTTTTGTTGTTGCATCAAGCCATATCTCAATATCTCATGAACGTTAAATTCAAATAGATTATTTTCAAGTTTCAATAGATTAGATTTTACAAACTAATAAGTAAAATTAACATAGTCGTTAAAACGCGTTGTTAAGTTTGGTATATTTGTATTATAAAGATAAAGAAGTTGCAAAAAATGACCGATTTGCAGAAATATGTTGATTGTATGTTTATTTTTTTTTTTAAAAAAAAAAAATTTATTTTATACATTTCTGTTTATTTATTATTAAAAATTTCGTAAAATTTTATTAGTAACGGTTGAAATAATCACTTCCGATGGACGAGTCATAGTGGTATGTATTTATATATGTATAGTTTTGGTTAATCTTTTAAATTATTATTTTTGTTTTTTTCTTTTTTTTTTTTAAAGAAAAAAGAAAATCATTTATTTGATAAAGGGAACATTAAAAGGGTTTGACCAAACCACAAATGTGATTCTGGCTGGATGTCACGAACGTATTTTTTCAGAGAATGAAGGAGTCGAAAGAGTTGCCCTTGGATTATATATAATACGAGGAGACAACATGTAATATATCAATCTATTATGAACGTTCAATTTAAACGCGTCTTTTACTAACTATGGTTTAAATTATGAAAAATAGATGTTTAATTGGTGAGTTGGATCAAGAACGAGACGCGTCCATAGACCTTTCCGAGATTAGAGCAGCTCCTATTACTGATATTTCTAGACGTTAAAACAATTTTTTCTTCGGATAAAAAGAGTTAGAGTTTTAATTTTTAATAGAGAAGGAATTTTTTTTTTTACTTAATTATCTGTGTATATAACATAAATTAATATAGCATTTTTTTGTTTTTTTCAATAATAATAAAAATTTAAAATCATTAAAAGGCAAATTATCATTATATTATTTGAAAAAAATATTAAAAATCTATTTAGGTGATTTCTTGTGGCATCTGTTTTTTTGTTGGTTTTTTTTTATCACCCTCTACCAACTAAATATTTAAAAATACATTAATAATTCTGAAGTAAAAAATCATTATAAATAGTTGTTTCTAATAAACAAATTAGCTCTATAAATCCGAAAGTAACCAAATATTGTCAGCGTAATAATGCTTCCGGTATATTTAATAAATGTCTCATTTGTTCTACCTTCACCTTTAAATATTGATCCATTTCTTTTCCAATGTGATTTGGATTGGGACTTTGCCATGCAATGGGAACCATCGGAATGCGCTCAATAACTTTAATTCCTGCATTTTCAACCTGTTCAATTTTGTCAGGATTGTTCGTTAACAATCGAACGTTGGATAAATTAAGATCTTCAAAAATTTGTGTTGCAATATCATAATTACGAAGATCGGCAGGATGCTTGAGAACGTGGTTAGCCTTTATAGTATCGTATCCTATATCCTGTAAATTATATGCTCTAAGAAGGGAAAAAAAAAAATTTTTAGGAGAAAATATTAAAAATTTACGATACATGAAAAATACAAATGTCTCGGTTATATGGCTGTAAGCTTTCCATGGAATTAATATTCACCTCAATTTATCCGCAAGACCAATTCCTCTGCCTTCCTGTCTCAAGTATATAATAACCCCACGTCCTTCCAGCTTTATTAGCCGCATGGCTTCATCTAATTGTTCTCCGCAATCACATCTTACACTATGAATGGTTTCTCCTGTGAAGCATTCGGAATGAATCCTAACTAACGGCGGCGGAAATTGTACCGTAGAAACCTTGGGATCAGCATTGCTAGTTTCAACTGACCTTTGACCAGGCTTTAATCTACCCTTATATGCCCCCCTTATGATTCTATCCATTTCACTTTCTCCCGGTCTAGAAGCATCTAAACTATTACTTCGAATATCATCGCCATATACAATTGCTAAGTGTTCTTTATTATCAAGTTCACTTTTGTAAAGGTGAAGAAAAAATTCTCCTGTAGATGTCGGAATGCGTGCTCGAACTTGACATTCTATTTTAACTGTGTTTTTTTTATTTATTAAATTAGAAGAAGGTGGTGTGGTTGGGGGTGTGTTAATAACATCAGACGCTCGAAGTGAATGTCTAAAATTATTTGTTAGTCCGTTCGTAAAATTTTTTTTAATGGAAGAACGTTTTATGAGAGTTGCGACGCCGTTCGTTAATGGTGGTTTATATGTTGCATCTGTTTTCAAAGGAACATTATAAGAGGAAACGCCTATTAGTTGTGCCTCTTCTGTATTATGATATCCCATTAGTTTATTAAATAATATAATGGAAATCACGGTATTTAAGAAAGATCAAAATTTGTCACTAATAGTAAAAAAAAAAAAATTCTCGAGACATATTAATATTAATCAATCACGTGAGTTAATCTCTTTTTTTTTTCCTCTTTTCATTTTACAAATAAGATTGATTTGTCATGTTGTATTTCCTTCCCAAGTTTACTAATTAAATACCATTGATTTGTCATTAACTGATTATCGTATTTGGTGAATTTGTGGGGCCAATCACAAATTAGAACATGTTTCCAATTTGAGGCGTATTATTTACTGATGTTCAATAAACAACAATACACGCGTTTTAAGGCGAGGATATTAAATTCTCCGTATTGCAAATTATGGCCGAAAATGATTCAGAATGGTATATCAGTCCAGCTAATAAAGAATCTTCAAGCGCTATAACCAAAGAGTCAAGTAGCCATGCTTATCGTGATGCAGAAGAAAGCAATTTTTTTAAAGGACAGAATATCGATAATAAAGAGTCAATTCGTAATACAGCTAAACTTCATAATTCAATAGTTTCAACTTCGTACTATAACCCAATTACGCAGGTGGATTGTTCCAGTTCATCGTCATCGTTGGATTCTGGCGAGTTTTCTGACGATGAACAACCATTAATTTGCCTCGAAGAGTTGAAGCGCAAGCAAAGCGAGATTACCATGCTTAGAAAGTCAAAAGATGACGCAACTTCTATACACTCTGATAAAGAATATTTAAACACACAACCATGCCCATTAAATACTTCTCATAAACTCGCAGTTCAAATGCTAAAGATCAAAAAGTATAAACCTTCAACTAAGGAATTTGCGCCTCCAGTATCTCAAATCAATGATGGATCTGCTTGGATTCCAGAAATAAAACGATCAAAACTTCCGATTGAATCACGAAAAGATGATATTATTCATACTATCCGAGACAACAGGGTAGTTGTATTAAGTGGAAGTACAGGTTGTGGAAAGGTACTTAATTAATTTAATGATCTATTTATATTTATATTTACTTCTTTAAAGGCCCTTCTAACTTTATATTATAATTGCTCCAAGTCAACACAAGTTCCACAATACATATTAGATTATTGTTTACAAAATTGTGTTCCAGTAAATATCATCTGTACACAACCGGTAATCAAATAAATATTTTTTTTTTTTTTATCTATTATTACAATAAATCAATTTTGTAATGGATTGAAACGTGATGTAATTTTTTCTTAGCGTCGCATAGCAGCAACCTCCCTTGCACATCGCGTTGCGTCTGAGCGTGGAACGCCACTGCATGTTCAAGTCGGATATCATATTGGAGGCAAAGGAGGTTATACTACATCTACCAGATTGCGTTATGTCACAACAGGAATTCTATTGGAAATGTTAAAAGCGGATCGATATTTAAATTCGTACACTCATATCATTATGGACGAGGTACTTTTACAATAATCATATCATCTTATGTTAATTGACCCTCTGTATGTAACAAAGTTAAAAACCATTTTTAAAAGATTCATGAGCGTAATGTTGATGATGATTTAATGTTGGCACATCTTTGTGTTATATTAAGAGAAAATCCATCATTAAAGCTGATTATTATGTCTGTGAGTATAAAAAAATTCGAGTTATTTATGTTAGTAATCTAGTCAAATTTTACATACCATCTTGATTATATTTTTTCCATTAGGCTACCATGAATGTGCAAAAATTCACAAAGTATTTTCATGAATTCGAAGTTAAGCGTGATGGTTTGTCGCAAATTCCTTGGATTGACATTCCTGTTAAGAATTTTCCGGTTGACGCTTTTTACCTGGAAGATGTTTGCCAGACGTTAGGAATACCTGAATCGCAACAGAAAGCCATATTGAGCGAACCTAAAAAACCATCTATGATGCAAGAACGTCGTGACCTTTTTATAAGTTGGATATTCCGATGTCACGTTGATTCACCAGTTGATGATGCTTTTCTTGTTTTTTTACCGGGAATTTCCATAATCGCTGAAGTGGTAGGATGCTTTGTAATATTTAAGTATCTTTTTTTTTCACATAATATGAAATTATTCTCATGTAAGGAATCTATTATTCATATTAGGAGGATCAACTAACTTTCCTTGATGAGCAGCAACGGTATTTATTATTTCATGGATTCTATCTTATATAAACGAGGATCTATCAATTTGAAAAAAAATTTTGATAATGATTTAGGATGTCAAACCCTTTTTTGCCAAATATCACAATCATTAAACTACATTCCACCGTTACTATCGATGAACAATGCATGGTCATGCAGCGACCTTTAAGTGGTTACAGAAAAGTAGGGGGGGTTTTTTTTAAAAAAAAATCATCATTTATTTCCAACTGTTGTAGATGATCGATTTACTTATTATTACTTATAATTAGATTGTTTTGGCAACTAATGTTGCTGAGAGTTCGATTACGGTACCAGATGTGAAAAAAATATTCGATACCTGTTTGCGTAAAGATGTAGATTACGACAAGGCAACGCGGTGCTATAGTTTGAATGAACAATGGATAAGTAAAGATTGTGCTGAACAACGAAGGGGTAGAGCCGGGAGACTAGGCCCAGGCGTAGTACGTCATTATGCTAGATCTCTAAACAATATAATATCATTTGCTAAGAATATATTCCTATTTCTTTATAGATTTATCGGTTTGTGCCGAAACAATTTTATGATAATTTAAGAAACGAAAGGAAACCAGTAATAAAGAGAACACCTCTCAATTCTTTGCTTTTGAGATCCATTTATGCAAACCTCGGGGATCCACGCGAATTATTATCACACTGTATCGATCCTCCGGACGATAACGCTGTTGACTATGCATTAGAAGATTTGGAAATTACCGGAGCTGTCGTATCTAAGGAAATTGCCAAGGAAGAAGATGATTGGGTTCAAGGAAGTATTGTTTCATACGAGTATGAAGTAACTCGACTCGGTACAGTGCTTGCACAATTACCTTTGGATCTTCATTCGGGATTATTAGTAGTTTATGGGGCAATTTTCGGTTCACTGTATGATACTATAATAATTGCTGGTAAGTATTTCTCAATTCGACTTGGAATTAAACAAAGCGAGATTTTTTTTAAATTGAATGTTTAATCATTTCAATGTAGCGATATTACAAAATCGAGGTGTAATTGTTCAACCACCACATCAAGAGATACAGATTAGCGCGGCTATGAAACGATTTTCTCTAAATTTACCAGAGGATTATCCTTTACAGGGTGGTTCGGATTTAATATCTCATCTACGTGGTTATTTATACTGGGAGGAAAAGACGCAATATGACAATAGGTTTGATTTGTCTAGAGAACTATCATGGTGTCAGAAACAATTTATTAGTTTATATTGGATACGGGAGATACAAGACTTGGTAATATCAATTCGAGAATCATTAGCTTATCAAGGCATTTGTCCGCCACCAACCAAGGACGAAAGAGATAAGATACGCAGAAACCGTTTAAATGTCATTATAACTGATGATACGATAGATGATGATTTTGATATAGATGGAGGATCTGAGGAAAGTTCTGAAGGCGACCCGATTAGTGATATTGACCAAGCAATTCGAATTTTAGATAATGCAGCGTCAAGTGAATTACCTAATGGGATAGAAATTGACAATATAAGTCAACAACCACCTAAACTACATACTTACAACCCAAGATATCATGCAAAGGCAGGCATTCCAGTTCATCAAGTAGCAAATAATATACGGACATCTTTAAATCCTTGGATGAATGTATTTGATAGAGCATATGAAATATCTAACAGGCCGGTTCGGTTAAGTAGGGAACCGAATGTTACATTACTGACCATCTTATTGACAGCGGCTTTTCATCAAAATTTGTTTTCTGTTTCTCCAAATCAAGACAATCGTGTCTTCAGATATTGCCCAAAAGATTATGACCGACATCATACAATTGAATTCTCTGCTCAGTCTCTTCCACCAAAACCTATCATGATAGAAACACTAGAAAAGGACATTGGTGTCATACATAAAATACTTCATCCCGAAACCGATCAACTAATAACCAAAGGGGATACTGAATATTGTTACATCGAATTCGTAAAACCTGCCAAACCTATATGGACCCATTCTCGTGATAGGAATAACCCAACATTACCAGATGCCGTTTTTTTGGCACAAAAGTTTAGAACCGTCAAAAATAGTACCTGGACTGAAGGATTAGGAAACTCTATTGGACACTTCACATCAGGTGCAACATATAATTCGGAAGACGCGAGGAGGTTACGTTTTTCAGGAATTTACGGATGTACCGAAACAGCCACTATGCTTTCCCCAATATTTCATTCCAAATTAGCAAAGGCATTTCTATCCAAATCATCACTATTCTTTCCATTAATTATCAATAGTGGTGAACATCGATGTTATTCGTTATGCGCCGGAAAGTTGTTGGCCGTAGATTATGGAAAATCTCACGTTGCAGAACATATAACTTGTATGATCGGACCTTTAACAACCAAAAATAATATTGGTGATGTGATCCTCGCTTTCTTTGCGAATAAATTAGATAATGGTATTGTTGGTGGGTGGCATGTACAAATAAATTTGAAACAATATCCGTTGTTTAATGCTAAACTTTCAGATGCCGAATCAGATTTAATTCTTTCCGTTAGATATTTTCTAAAGCAAGCTTTGTTTGAGACTAATCCGATAGGTTCAAATTCCAATGGTATGTTGTTACCAAATTTGGAAATGCCTTCTACATGTAGAGAGATGGTTAGAGTTTGGAATCAATGCAAAATGACACCAGATCAGGCCGGAAAACTTTTGGTAGACTCGTTATTAATGATTCTTTGAAATTTTTTTTTTTTTTTTTGCTCTCAATTATTTTTAATTTAATAATAAGTAGATAAATTATGTACAATAAAAAAAAATTGCATGCTCGATATATTTATAATCCAATTTATTTGGAAACGTGTCTTGTTTCGTTCATTTTATTTTATTTATTTTTTAAAACCATAAAAAAAGATTTGGTTAAATTGGTGTCAAAAGAAAAAAAATAATCTTATAAGTATTCATATTGACTTAATTTAAGAGTATACAAAAACTTAGTAGCATCAAAGGCCAAACTTCGAAGCCAAGATGTCACCGGTCAAAACGAAGGAAAAAAAAAAGAATTAAGAAAATAAAAGTATCTAATAAAATTATTAATTTATGAAATAAAAGCACTGCGGAGATCGGTTTCATTATGAACAACCGAGATCTTATCAATCTTGCAAAAATAACAAATGTATGAATTTATGTAAATTAGGAAAGTAATGTGTAGTAAATAATTGTTAGTGTAATATGAATTTACGATCATTTCAATTTATTATATAAAAAAATGATTTATTTTTTATTTTTTTAAAATACGAAAAGCCCAATACGATATTACATGCATAAAATATTTTTATATCTCGAATTTTCATATTGATATATAGAATCTCACTAAAAGGAAATCAAAAGTTGTAGTTTTATTAATTCAGTACCAACGAACTTTGACCAATATAGATAAGATAGTTAATAGAAAAACTTTCTAAAAGTCCCACCACCGATAATGTTTTCATTGGCACGCCCTTGTCACTTTATTACACGATAAATTACTCTTGATTTCATCTTCTGCATGTCATTATGCCATTTCACGCTTAATTCTTCTTCAATTCCAGAAAAACTCTTCAAAGGGATTTCTAAAATATCTGTTCTGCTAAGTAAGATCTAACGTTTAATACACCTTAAAGATATTTGATATTCTATTCTTTCTGCAAAAGTGTTCGCATAAACTAATATCACAGTATTTCTAAAATCTTTATTGTTATCACTATTTTCTTGATTTGTTTCAGAACATTTGTTATTATTTCTACTATATTGAGGTTATCATCTTTATTATCTGCATCACTATTATATCTATACTAACATTTTCTTCCTCTATATTATAAACTTCATTTATAACATTATCTTTCTATAGTTCTTTGAGGTGAACAGTACTTAAATATTTTTTTCTCACAATATTGATCTTTCAAAGATTTATATTCTTTTTAAACTTTATTCTCTTAAGCATAGTGGAATTGACGATCCTTTTTATATTATTCTATTATAAAATATATATAAAAATTGTGAAACATCTCGCATATCCGGTGGCTTTTTTCTCACTAACCTTTATCACATAATATTAAATATATAAAGATTTATTATTCTATATTTTATAGATAATATAAATTATACTTTTAGCTTTAATTTTTAAAATTTAATTAAATAATACTCTTGATAATATTTTTATCACAATTATGTATGCATAAGTTTCACGATTTGACAATGCGGCATTTTTAAAAATTTCGCATTACTTTTAAAAATGATCACACACTTTTATAATTTTGGTGATGATCAGCAACAAATTTTACCAATTATAATAAATTTTACAAAAATTAAAGTGATATTTAGTAGCCAATTATACAAAAGTTTTTATGCTATTCTCTTATCTATTCTTTCTACACTAATCAAAATCCAAAAAATAAACATTTGATAAATTGACCTAAAATCAACTAAAATTAGTAAATTATCAAAAATCAGTTTAATCAATTGATATATATCAAGAATGGGTTAAATTTAACTAAAATTCAATTTATCTTATTTATAGCTAATTGTCATACTTATAACCAATTGGTATATATTAAGAATTGGTTAAAATTTAACCTATCTTATTTATAATGATTGATATCTAATTAATATATATTAAAATCAGCTAAAATATATCAAAATAAAATAAAATTTGAAAAAAAATATACTAGTTACTAATAATTTGTAGGATTATCAGTTAAATTAATTTTCTGATAAATTTAGATTAGTCTGAATTATATAGTATATAACATCTAAAAGCATTAAAAAATGTAAATCACTCTGAAATTTTAAATGATATTTTACATAACTTATCATGTATAACTAATTTGATTAAATAAATTTTTCAATTAGTATTTATTTATTAAAATTATCATATGTATGCAAATATATTTAGTTTAATTTTGATTTAAATACTTTACAAAAATTTAATGCAAATGATGAATGTTATTATATAATAATATCCTTATATTTTTATTGATCAAATTTTAAACTGCCTTGTAAATATCTTTACAAAATAAATCCAAATCTGATTAAGGTCATGCTAATTAATAATTATGTATAACAAAGATTTTTAATAACACAAAGGTAGAGGATGAGAGGCTAAAAAAAAAAAAAATTTTTTTATTATATTATTAAATGTAAAAATAATGAAAGGAGAATATTATTTATTAATATTAATTTTATATTGTTATAAAATTTATTAAAATAAAAAGACAATTATTTATTTTATTATAAAAGATAGGTATAAGTCTAAACTAGTGAAAAAAATACAAATCATAAAAGAAAATTAATATAAAAGTATGAAATAAATCACAGATTGTTTTTTTCCCTCCAGAATATAGAATAGTAATATAAAAATAAGAGAGAAAAGAATATATAATTGTAAAAAAAAAGATATATATATATATATATATAAAAATACAAATTATTTCATTTAAGTTTTATAATTATTTTATTACACATTGCTTTTTTTATATTTGTAATTTCCCTTTATAAAAAAATTTTATCATTTTTTTGACAAATTTCATATAAAGGATATACTATTTGAAAATGAGATAAAAATTCTTGTGAAGGTTTAATAAAATTATCTTTCTCATTATAATAGAAATAAATTTGTGAATGTTCAATCCTACATAAATAATATATCTGCTAAATTGGTAACTGACAAATTAGATTCATTATAACAAAACCTTACTATATAAAGGATGATTATCTAGAACTATAGGTGAATCACATATATATGCAAATATTTTCATAACTATTTGCAATGCTTTCTTATTTGAATTATTTAACATATATTGATTAAAAATATAACATAATTTTAAACAAATTGTGTAAAGAGCAAGGTTATTAACTTTTATAATAACTAAATTCCATTTTAGACAAATTTCTGATATTTGTGATTATTTTTTTGCTTAAAAGATCTTTTTCATTAGTATTACGTTTATATAATAAATTAAAATCTTAATAATAATCAAGATTTAAATTAATTTATAGATAAAATGTTTTAATTTAATATATTAGTAAAATAATATAATAATAAAAATAAACTTACTACTTGAAATTTGTGAATCTGATATAAAGTACAATTGATCAAAAATCTCTTATAACAATTGAATAAGACTGCAAATTAAACATTTATTTTTTTATATTTTTTGATCTTAAAATAAACAAAAATCAGTAAAAATAAAGGTATTTACTTAAAATAATATGTAATAATTATTACTGATATTACATGATTATATTTATCACATAATATTTATATTTTATTTATCATCAGTTTTACGTGATCAGAAATTATCACATGATTTATATAAATTTATAACATGCTTTATTGTTTTATTATAACTTATTATTCATATTTATTGTTTTAAATCTCTCTTGATGAACGTCAATTTTTTCATTTTTTATAAATTTTATATTATAATACACTCTTATACTCTTTAATTTTCACTTGTTTTTATAACTTTATTATAGATAATAATAATACAGACGATTTTGATAACTAACAGTAATCAAATAATGAAAATATTAGTTCTATTTCTTTAATAATAGCTGATATCAAAGTTGATGCTTTTTTTTTTATATAGGAAGATATAGAAATCAATATGTAAAATTTGTAGGTTTTTCTTTAAGAAAAAAATATGTTAAAGTTGATAAAGATAATTAAAATTGTGTGATGTAGAACTTATGAATGTAGTTTTTCTGGTAAATTAGTTTCTAATCAAGTTATTAATATAATTTGCCAGCAGGAAAGATCATCTAGAAAAATTATGTATCTATAGCATATAAATCTTACTTAACTCAAATTATTAATAAAATAGACATTACAAGTATTATTGATCAATATAATCATGCTATAATAGCTGATACAAATTTGTATATTTCTAAATATCATAAGTTATCAGATGATTTAATAGATAAAATTAAATTTTATATTACTAAAGGAAATATAGAAGCAAAACAAATCTATATATATATTAATTGCAAATTTTTCTAATCAGTATATTCATAAAAGAGATTTTTATAATATAATTTAAAAATTTAAATCATCATTTATCAATTGATATAAAGATGCATAAATATAATCAATAAATTATTTGAGCTAAAAGATCAAGAATCTGAATGGATTATTCACACAAGGCTTAATTCTTTTGATAATTGACTTATAGGATTATTTTGGATGTCATCTAATCAGCATCAATATCATTTACAATATAATAATATTATACAAATAGATAATATATATCGAACTAATTAGTTTGATATGTATTTAACTCTTGTAGTTATAATTGATAATAATATTAAAAGTCATTTTATTGCTCAGTGTCTATTAGAAGATGAGACAATTGAAAGTTATAAGTAGTTTCTTAGTTGTCTCTTTTAAGCAACTAATAATAATTTACCTTTTTGTATATTTTCAGATACTGATCCTATTTTATTAAATGCAATAGTGTTAAAATTACCTAAAACTTAATATTTTTTTTGTATTTTGTATATTCAAAAAAATTTATGAAAAAATTTAGTAGGTAAATTAAGGTAAAAATATTAATCATTTTATAAAGAATTTTTATATATTCAAAATAGCTTATTTTTGGATAATTTTTATCATTGTTAGATATGACTTCTTGAAAAATATCTTTAAACTTAAAAATATTTTAATTAGACTTTAAATAATTATTGTCAAATATGAGCAAAATGCT